GTAAAAGAGGATTTTACGATTTTTCTTCCAGGAAAACTACACGATTGTGACCTCTGACCATGCCTCCTCCTAAGGGGACTGGCCCTCGGGGCGGCTGGCGAACGTCCCAAAAGCAACAACGAGAACTGGACGCAAAAATGCATCAAACGCTTCGTACGCTTATGTTCGCCGCGTATGAACGCGAAGAGGTGGAGCGACAGTGGGTTTTGCTGTAACTACTCAAACTTGTTCTCAACTTATGTAACATATGTTTATTTTCATTTCCAGGAAAAGCTTTTGCTGATGCACAGCGCATTGTCTCGTGAGTCATACAATATTTCCTTTATTGTCCAAATAAATTATGTGCAGATTGAATGTATAACGTGCAATCGACGAAATAGCTGTTCAGAGGTAATCAAAACAATCTTCATATCATGAAAGACGAACTGGATGACGAATGTGATCTGGAGCTGGAACCGCACTTGGATGTAAAGCCTGTTAGCCGTCCGGTACCGGTCGAGCCTGAACCGCAATCCGAAACTGAACGCTTTGCCCCCGTTGATCCGTCGCTACAGGTGGGAGGCGAATTAGGTTCTAAATAGAGCATTATAACTTTGAGCGACTCAAGTGGCATTCCAAACATCGGTAACATCCGCTGCCTCCACCTCCCAACTTCATTTTCACCGCCCCACTTACTGTGTATCCAATGAAAAGAGAGCTTCCAAGAGAACAACTTATTTTTCATCCATCTCTTTTTTTGAAAGTAGATGGACAAATTTCCTCCAGATACTACACACTATAGGGGTTCCACACACACACGCATACATGCGCTGGAATCTGCCAAGCTAGGAGTGGGCTCTTTATTTAGAAGCTTTCACGGTATGCAGTTCTTCCAGAACTGCAAAAAACACCCTCCAAAAACGACCTCCTCTCACATCTTCCGTAAGAACGACCCCTTCCGATCTTTCTTCCGGAACCCGAAAAAGAACCTCTTGCGAAGATTGCAAATACAATTCCCTGTAGTCTGTGCCTACAGGTGGTTGACCCCGTCTAGAAGTCAGTTTGGTCGGGTGGAATTCGGAGCATTTGTGGTACAGGAACGAAAAAGCCGCAATTAGACGCAGACATCTGAGAGGTAATGAAGGTAGGGGGATCGTATTGGCTCTGAAACTTTTCACAGTATGGTGAATCTTCCTCCCTAATGTTTAAATACTTGCGGTTAGCTCATTGGGAAACGCCATACCCAGCAGGTAAATCTAAAGCCTTCCTCTCATCAACATTGATCTGATGCCACGAATCACAAAACAATGTGAAGCACTGCGTGAGGAAATAAAAGTCCAGTAATAATTAGACAATATCGCAATTTTATAAAGTACTGTAAAGACAGTATTCTGTTCCCCCTGTTGAAGAGCCAGATCCGTCTTTATACGTCATCAAAAGTCAACCCATTTTTTTTTGATAGTCTACCAAGAAGCCACGTAATCGCTTCACGAAAACTCATGCTTTTTTAGAGCCGTGATATTTGCCAGCCGACCGCGCAACAGCAAGGAGACGTGTTCGAAGATGAGTACAAGGAGGTATTGTACATGATTGTATAGGTTTTTATGGTGAACGAGTCGTATCACGGGAGTTATTGTTTCAGGAAGTACCAGACACTGAAGAACTTTTCAATAATTACGAAGAAAAGGTTCAGGTAATATCTATTGTTTAGCTC